TGCCCCTTTAGTTGACAATAACTAAAACAATAATGTGTCTATATAGCAACTAAAGTTACAAGTTTCTCTTTAAATTCATCTCTTAAATGGTACCTGTCATTTTCTGCTAGGTAGTTTTTCATGTGCCCTTCTGGAATCAATGTGTTACTCTTTAAGAACAAATCATACTTTTGCACCCCTCATATTTGTCTACTAGTGAGCAATACATTAACACTGTGTCTCAGCAACTATTGCTGTACGACAGCTACTCTAAAACAATACATTTTTTAATTATTATGATGTCAGGGTCCTGGGGATCAACACAGTGGGCTCTGTCCCTCACATCCCTGCAGGTGGACGTTGGCATTTGGCTGAGACTTCTGGCCTGCACTGCCCTCCAGAGTGAACACGTGGCTTGCGTTTCTTCAAGGGATGGCGCCTGGCTTCTAAGAGCAAGTGTCATGAGAATGAGCAAGGTAGGCACTACGGCCAAGTCTCTGAAATCACGTGGTATCATTTTGTTACATTCTATTTATTAGAATTTAGTCACTAAGGCCAGCCCATTTCAAAGGGAGGGAAGTTGGGATTCCACACAGTAAATGCTAATTAGATGCCTGCTTTAAGCATTTATTACATTTTGAAAAGGCAGGGATGAGAGTGATGCAGTCTTAAAAGGTCAGAGTAGAAGTCGGTATTACTGTCAGAATTGATTAACCTAAACAAATGTGCTACCATGGCTATTTGCTTTACAAGTGAGTGCCAGTACTATTTACAGTCTCTTTGTAGGAGATAAAATAAGTTGTTTAGGAAGATATAAAAGAATACTACTTCTGCTTTCAAGTGCATACAACACCTGGAGATCTTGTAAAATGCAGATTCAGGTTCAGGAGGTCTGAGATGGGGCCTCACATTCTGATTGTTATGGAGTTCCAGGGCGATGTTTTAGGTACTGTGATCTGCAGGGCCATTCATTAAATGCCAAGTTAGTAGAAATAAGGGTGACAGCCTAGCTCTTATGATACTGCCCTTCTCTGCAAAGAGCCTTAACAGGTATTCTACTTTAGGTGTCCACCATTCCTCTAGCTAGGTGAACTCCTGTCATAGTAATCAGCATTTTATCACTGTGGCAAAATACCTGATATAAATAAAGGAGGAAAGGTTTATTTGGGCTTATGGTTTCAGAGGTTTCAGTCCATGGTTGGCTGGCTCCATCGCTTTTGGCCACTGACAAAAGGGCTTGGTGGCCACCCACCTGGAAACCCAGGAGCTAGTCTTCTTTCCTTATTCCCAATAAAATTCTCCTAACTTCCTCCTTTGGTTTATAATTTTATTCCTCAATGTTGTGAGACCATGAACTCAGTACATTTGACATCTACCAGGTCAGGAGCTATATTTTTCCTATCCCAAATAGGCCAACAGCTGGCTTTGGAGGAACATTTTAGATTCACACTGTTAACATTCCACACCTGGTCCCCAAAGGGTCATGTATACCTCATTATGTGAAATGCATCTAATTCATCTCCAAGAATTACCAAAGTCTTAACACTTTTAACATTGCTTAAAAGTCCAAATCTAAAATCTCCTCTGAACCCTAAGGCAACTCTTAGCTGTCAGCCCCTGTAAAAATTAAAAACAAGTTACACAGTCCCAAGATACAATGGCACAGGGTAAAAACTTCCATTCCAAAAGGGAGGAACAGGGGCACAGGAAGGAGGGATATAAAGCAAATAAGCCTGAAATTTATAGGGCAAATATTAAATCCCATACAATAGCTCCGTATCAGGAATCCAGGACAAGTGATAGGATGATGGGATTTCCATCCCCTGTGGCCATGCTCACAGCAGCCCACACACATCTCTCTTGGGTGGACTTTTCTCCCTGCCTGTGGCTCCTTTAACTGATATTTCATATTCTGGGTATCTCTAACTTCCTGGGCTCTCCACCCAGCTTCAGTTTCACTCGGTTTCATGTATCACTTTCTCAGGGGCTGGCCTCAGGGACACCAGCCCTGTTACATATTGTCTGGCCTTCTAGGACTTCCTTTGAAATCTCAGTGAAAACTTTCATGACCTTATAACTCACATTCTGCATGCCTATAAAACCAGCACCATGTGAGCAACATCAAGTTCTGCTGCTAGTGGAAGCAGGAGCTGAGCCCACTTGGACCTTGGCTACAGAGGCCTCTGAGTATCTGAATGGCTAAGCACAGTGAAAGGAATCCAGGCTACTATTTCATCAAAAGACTTCCTAGACAACCCTGTGGGAATAGCCCTCCACATCTTTGGTCTTTTCTCAAGGCAAAGGCTCTTAAAGGAGTTTACAGATCATGCACACATGTGTATGTGTGACATGGTGTTGCTATGTAGTTCAAGCTAGCTTTGAACTTTTACCAATCCTCCTACCTCAGCCTCCTGAGGGTTGTAAATACAGGCTCAGTACAGGAGCTTACACTTTTATCGCTTAAGCCTGTGATAGATGAGGTCTGGCCAATTCCTGAGATGCCCTTAAGGCATCTTTTTTACTGTCCCAGTGTAAAGAATCCGGCTTCATTTTTTAATGGTGCTAATTTTTGTTTGGTTAGTTTTTTGAGACAGGGTCATGCTATGTAGCCCAAGATGGCCTCAAACTCCCAGAGATGTTTCTGCTTCAGCCTTCCAAGTGCTGGGATTACAAGCATGTGGCACCACACCCAGCTGTTGCTAATTTCTTTAGCCATCACACTTTCTTTGCCAAAACTTTACATGGACTTCTTTTCTAGCCAAACTGTAAGTTCTTAAAATCTTTCTCCTCTGTTCTTTGTCCCCAGTTCTCATTGTAAATCTGGCTAAAGCACCAGAAATACTCATGCCACAGCCTGACTACTGTGCTCTCTTGAAACTTCCTCCACTAGATTAGTGTGACATCTTTAAACTCAGCCTCCCACAAAGGCTCAAGGCATGAACAAAATTTAGAAAAAATCTTTGCCAGAAGGTAACATGAGCAGCCTCTAGTCTAATTCCCAGAAGAACCCTTGTTCCTATGTGAAATCTCATGGACAGTCTTTACTCTCCACATTCCTATAAGCATTTAGGTCTTCTGGGCTCCCAGCAGAATGGCCCATTAAATTCCCCTTGCAGCATTACAGGGCTTGTCTGATCCACGTCTCCAAATCTTTCCAAACTCCCATCAGTTCCAAAGGCTTCTGAACCACAGAGTCAGGTATGGTCACAACAACCCCACTCCTGAAATCAGTTTTCTGTTGGTCAGCTTTTTGTCCTTGTGACAAAACACCTAACCCTAAACAAATAAAGAAGGAAAGGTTTATTTCGGCTCATGGTTTGGGGGGTTTCAGTCCATGCTTAGCTGGCTCCTTTCCTTTTGGCCAGAAGTGAGGCAAAACATTATGGTGGAGAGGGCACAGTACAGCAAAGCTGCTCACTGCATGGACATCAGGAAGCACAGAGGGTGAGAAAGCAGACAAGGGACCAATGTAAAGATATGGCCTCCAGGGTCACACCTTCATTACCTACTCCTTTCACCTAGGCTTCACCTCCAAGAACCTGTTCAGCTACAAACTCAACACTGACTTAATCTATAGATTAGGTTTATGTGCTCATGAGCCAATCACTTCCCAAAAGCCTATCATCTGGACTTTAGGGAGTATTTTAGATTTAAACCATAATATGTATATAAAATCAATCAATCTTTTCACAGAACTTTTAGAATTGGTATTAAATAAGAGTAATTTTGCACTCTCTTGTAATAGAAGCACAGGATATGGAGTTTTACAGTTATCAGTCATGTGCAAAAGCCAGTTTCCAGGAAGAATTAAAGTAGGAAAAGGAGAATTCAGGTATGTGATAATTTAGGATCCCTCCAGAAAATTCCTCTCTTGGCCTACACTTGTTCTAGCTGAGTTTTTATTAGAGACTAAAATGTCCGAACACAGAGTTGGGGAAAGAGATTTCTTCTGGCAATGCAGTGTCCACTGCCCTGAAGTACTAGATTATTGTCCTCATACCTAGGAGCTGGGAGAGAGGACACATGCCAGATGTGTTTACAACATGGAGAGACAGGACACTGAGGAAAACTAGGAAAACCTCAACCTACCTAAAATAGGAAAATAAGACCAACAAACAGAAACAGGCAAGAGTCTCCAGACTGAAACTGGATAGGGCTAAAAGGATATGGAAAGAAAATTACCGAGCTAATGTTCTTTTCCTTTTTTAAGAGGATTCTCGCTATGCGGCCCAAGTGACACTCCTGCTGCAGGCTCCCAGGCAGTGGGACTCCAGGTGCACACTCCATGCCTGGCTAAAGCTGATGTTTCTCTGAAGAGTAAGCAGTCCCTGAGCTGAGTGGAGACTAAAAACAAGACAAGCAGAGTCCTGCTCAGCAAAGAACAAATCTCTGACTTTCGTAGTTAGGTGGCACTGTGTGGTATGCTGTCTACCTTAGACCTTACTTACGACTGCTATGAAAGTGTACTACATTACTCATGTGCTGTCGCTAAAACTGTGGCACAGCCAGAGCTGGCATTCCCACCTTCAGAAGATCACTCCTGCATGGTCAACATAGGACAGGGTGTACCTCCAGCAAATGTGAAGTCTTCTCGAGCTGCTGAGAGAGCAAGCAACACTGGTGAGACAAGAATGAAAGAACCAACAGCCCATGGTGGGAATAAGTAAAATTTTAATTACCAGTTTCTGAGTTACACTTTCATTGGTATCAATCTCATTATTCTATAGTGCACACAGTTAAGACAAAATATTTTGTAACACTTACAAAACAGTAAAATTTCTGCAAAATGCCTAATTACCACCTGTGTGTAACGTCCACAGACTGAAAGACCTTCCTGCTTAAGCAGCAGGTACCCGAGGACAGAGGGCAGTCAGCAGCAGAACCACAGTGCTGGACACCACTTTATTTGTGGTAAGTGTCCTTGGGTTTGAAATGTAGCAATGAAGTAATGAGGCTGATGCTATCCAACAAAAATGGACACTGATCTCATCATTTCACAGCTATACCTTGTGTATGTTTATAAAATATTTCTTTCACAAGTTAAAACATCATCTGCTATGATGGGCTTGATTTTGGTAAAATCAACTGAAAAAGGTTCTGTGTTCAAGCAACATTTGTTGTAAAGATTCATGAGTCAAAATTTCAAATGATGACTCCCACAATAACTGTAACTCTGCTCTATAACATACATAATAGAAGAAATGCTATCAGCGTATACCACCGGAGAAAATACTCCGTAAGCAGGAACAACTTGAGTTATGCTTGTTATGGGAGTCATCACTTTTGACTAGCTGAGAATACAGAAAAATGGAAACCATACATGCAGGCACTGTTTTTTTCACTTAATTCTAATTTTTCTGATCCGATTCAATCAGTTTCATATCTCAAATCCATTTTTCCTTTCATGAACTGCACATCTGTGTCTTTTGTAATTTTGAAACCCACATCATTTGGTTTCTTTCTCTCACCCGGGCTACCTTCGCAGGATGGCATCATTATACCCTGGCCCTCCCTGCGATGTCAGAAATGTCTGCTGGGATCCACTTATCTCCATCCCTTCTCCCTGAAGGACCCTGGGGGAGGGGAACAAGAAGACCAAAGAGAACAAGAATCACACTGAGTAGTTTAAAAAAGTAACTGCGTGCAACAGCAGAGGGACACTGTCACCATTAACTCCCCGTTGGTATTTTCCTAGGCAGAAGAAAGAATAATGCCACCATATACTTCCAATTTCCAAAATGTTTAGTTACAACATTACCTCATCTCATTCTCACCATACCACCATGAGAAAAAACAAAAATAAAATACTTTTACATTGTTTCAGCCCCTTGTGACTCAAACAGAATGCGCTTTCATGTTATTGTCAAAAGTCTGGGCCATTTAATTGTACTTAAAGATTTTCTAAATATATTCATTTATACATGCAGAAGGTTTACTTATTATTGAGGCAGAATATACTTTCTGTAAAAAAGATTATGGTTAGAAGCTAACATATGTAACAGATTTTCAGCTTTTTGCTTTAACTATATTCTGAAAATTCAATAGTGAAGGAAAAAATAATTGCGCTCTGAAACTCTGTCTAGGCAAAATTAATCCTGTACATTACATCCAGTATTACTTTTCCCAGTTTGGCTTTAACTAAGAAGGGCACCTTCTGCAACCTCAGAAGAGGGATCTTTTTACACTGCAGTCGTCTTTACCATCAGGGTACATGTGTTTCATTATATTCAAACTAAATTACTTTGGCACGGGAACAATCATAATTCCGCTGCCACTCTAAATAGCTCCACCCCACCATCGTGTTCATGACCTTGTGCAAGTATCTGGAGGGTGACAGGGTCAAACTTCTTTGTCTCTTAGCACTACTGTGTAAGGCTACTCAAATTTCACATTGTTTTCCCTCCTTTCCAGGTACTACATAAAATTTGCTTCTTCATTTACACTGTGCACCAATAGAAAGATCAATTAAAATAAAGACTCAGAGCTGGCCAAAACCCTCAGTCATTAGTTTTAGCTGGGGAGGTAACACAAGTCCACTTTGCCTGTGAAAGTTTGACGATTTTGCATATAACTAAAGGATAATGTTTTGAGTGATAAAGATAAGTAAATCCTGAGGGATAGTAACATCAAGAGGTTTTATTGTAGAGAGTTAACTTCTTAATGTTACCTGCAATCATAAAACAGATCTTTGCAATGAAAAAAAATGAATACATGTGTTTTGGATAAATTCATGAGGGTGTCCTCTGAGACATGAATACTGAATTCACAGGCATTTTCCTAACTTAAACATAAACATCCAAAAAGAAGCAATTCCTGGATTGATCACAAAGAACAATCTCAATACTATTTCCAGTCATGAGAAAGACCGGAAGATGGATGGTAGGCTAAAACAAGCCGTGACAAGGATGTAAGGTCTTGCACGTTATCAAAGACTAGGAGCATGCTTACTGCCTTGTATGATTCCTCAGCCCCACAGGAAGGCCACGCCACGCAGGTCATCCACTTTCTGGGACTGTGCTCAGGGAAAGTATAGGTGCAGCCCGTGGGTAAGATGTATCTTAAACAGAATGCAATAAAGTCCTTATCAGCTCTCTTTCACTCTCAAGGTGAAAACTGAAGAGGAAGTGATCAATTCTAGCGGATCAGAGAATGGTTGGAAACAAAAAATAACACTGTGAGCTTCTCTGAGCAGTCGATACGAGAAATTCTCAACGACCTAACACTTTCCAAATAAACTGACGGCAAATAAAGTTCTTGAAACTGTTGGTACCATAAATTAAGACACAATTTTTTATCTTTATTCTACTTAAAGCTGCCAGAATTCCATGGATGACTGACAGAAAGATAAAAAATATATTAGAGAATGAACCAAAAGAAAACACTGAAAGCAAAGGACATGGTCAAACAATAGAAGACTATCAGATACATTATTACATATTAATACATTGATGCTCTGCAGTCCTTTATAACATATTCTTGAAAAACACCCAATGAGAGGGAAAAGGTTGATAATATAACAGGAAAGACAGGTCATAAAATGTTATATTCTACATAGTCTCCATTTTGAGGAAAATATGTACATAAATAAAAATATTGGGAGGATATACACAAAATTACCAACAGAAGTTACGTCTTTCAGTGAGAAATTAATGTTTTCACAAGTTTTTTCTTTTGCAAATGAAAAGAGGATAAGAGGAAATTGCTGTTTTCAAAAATAAGCGATCACTATATCTAGGTCTCTTGATTCCATTTCTTTATAACACACAAAATGAAAACCTGAAATATATTTAGTGGCCAATAAGCACTTGCAATTGACAATTATTTTTATTTAAGGTAGGTATAAACTCAATAGTTTATTAAAATTTAATTTCCTTATACTTTTTTCCAACTTACATGAGAGTAAAAGTATTTGTAAGAACATAAATTTTTATCCAAGGTCAAACTCTTCCATATATTCTTCTTCAGGCATCCTTGAGCCTAGAAAATGAACTTCATATGCTTGATTCCATAGGTTTTAAAAAAGACCATGATAATGAGTGCCCACAGACCCAGGATAAAGCCACCCGGAGGATGCCAATCTTTCAGCTTTGGTTTCTGCAAAACAAGAAAACACAACAGGCAAATGATTCAGCGATGGATAAAGCGAATACTAACAGGAGAGAGAAGTTTCACTGCTTGTGTTCTAAGGGGGAATAAATTTAGCCAAATTAAATGAAATAACAACAATGAGAAAGACTCAAACAGGGTCAATATCCCAAAGGCTGAACCGTTCCTAACAGCGACCAGTTTTAGCTCACATTCTTTTCCCTCAATGGTTGCGTACCCAAGTTACTCTGTATTCTTTGAATTCATATATTCCTAAGTTTTCCCCGGTTTATCTGTCTCTATTGAACTATAGCTCCACGAGGGCTGTCTCGCTGTGTCCCAACATGGGCCTGCCACCATACACACCACACAGGGGCCACGCATCCACCACGCTGGAGAAGTCCCTGGAAGAAGAAATGCTGCTCGCTCCAGTCACTCACTCCGACATTCAGCAGGCCCGTGGGGGCCAGTGTTTCGGATGCTGTTTTTTCTCCCTTGATGCAGAATGCTCCATACATGCCATTGTGCCGATTCAAAACTTGCTAACTCAAATCATGCCAACTCCTCCAGATTTTCCCAGCTGAAATACTCTTTTTTTGGAATTTTCATGAACAGTACTTGTTTCATTGTTAACTCCACTAAACTTGCTAAGGTCAAAGTCCATCTGAGTCCATTTTACATGCCCTTCTCCAGTCCCCACCAGTAACACCCAGCCACAGGTTTTGTGTGCTTCTTTGTCGAGCACAGACTAGTCCTCCCTGAAGCTGTCACGATGGCCCTGTGACTGGAGGCTCCTGACTATGACCACTTTATGAATCTACTCACTGATTTACTAGCTGAGACTGTAATGGTTATGGGGCAGGAATCACATCCCACCAATTCAAAATTCACTTGTCAAACTAAAAGGGGAGAAATTCTAATTTGGATCCTAATGCTAGAGTTTTGGGGGCTTTTAATCAAATGCACACTATGAACTGAACTGACAATATTGTTTACAGTAGTTATGTGTAATCTTCATTCCTCTGTCATGCTGACCTTCTGCCATGCTGTCCAGAAAACACGCCAAAATATAATTCAAAAATATTAAACTCAAATTTCCTTGTGTTTCTTTCCAGTCAAGTCTGAAATCTTCTGGTCACATATGTGATGAAGATGATGACAAAAGTCTTTGCCCTCTAGTACTTTACAAAATGCTAGGTACAGCAGTTCTCAAACCATTCAAATAGCACAATTTTGGGGGGTGACAGTGCTCTCTGAGCAACACTGGCAAATCTTAATTTCATAGAAAATCTAGATCAACACAAGGCACAGTTACATTAGGTGATGTACATATAATTATCATAACTATGTTCCAAAGAAAAAATAAGCACATGAACTAAACATGATTATTATTCTTTTTCCTTGTCTATTTTCTATCAGTCAAACAACTGTTAAATGAAAAGGTTGAAAAAGACCAAAAATTACTTTTCCATGGACTGGAAAAAGATTACTATTGTATCATTATTAGTAGAAGCAGTGCGCCTTTATATAACAGCCTGAAAATGTTCCCAGGGAGCTCAGTTTAAGAGCACTGACCTAGTTAGAATGAGTTTCTGATTTTCCCTAAGTAGGAGTCTCTGAATTACATGGAAATTGAAAATACACACACGTGCATGTGCACACACACACTACTGTTACTACTACTACTATTACTATAGTAAAATTAATTAAATACTGTCAAAATGCATTCAGGTAAACTCTTAACTGAGACGACCAGGCTATAGACAATTGTTCCATAAACCAAATTAATGAGCTTCGGTGCTAAAAGAGCTCAGAAGGTGTTTAAATCAAGTCATGTTTAAAGAAAAAGGGTGAACATCATTTAAGCTCTATCATGAGATTACAGACGTATTAATCAAGTAGTGAATGGCAAATTGTACTTCCGCTGCAGCAGAAATTCTAGTTGCTTTCCAATGAGATGCATTCCCTGAGGTTATAATTTTTACCATTAGATCTTAAACTAGCAGCCAGAAATGTCTGCCAGAGATAAGACAATGCAAGAAAAAACTGCATCTTGGAAGCAACTACTGCTTCTCCAAATAATCCACTTAACCCTGTGGTCCGTTACTCCAAGCTGGCCTGGAGAACTGTGGAGTCCTCTTCCTGGTCCCTGCACCTCCTTGCTAGCCATGCTTCTCCTGTCCAGACCACCAATGCCCGAGAGAGAGGACCAGAGAGAAACACAAACTGCTAGAACTGTGGCTTCCCAAGAGCAGACTTTGACAGTAATAATGGAGGCCTGAGAAATACATATAATTATAAAAATTAGGATAGAATGGTACATTTATTCATCTTGTAACAATATTACACAAGCCAAAGAGGCAGCAGATCTTAGCATTTCAAAAACTGCTATTTGCAGCAGCTACAGTTTTTCTTGTATATTCATTACATCCTTTTGATTAATAAAAGTATAGGGCCAGGGATTTAGCTCAGTGCTTCTGCCACCTGCCTCGCAAGTACAAGTTCTCAAGATCAATAACAGGTACCCACCCCCCCCAGAAAAAGTGGCAATGCATTGATCACATGTACTTGGGGCTCGGTTTGAGAAAGCATCTGAAAAGAAACCCGCATTGCAGCCTATCCACAGTTGTCACAACAACCCATAAAAAACCTCAGAAAAAGATAACAAACTCTACGAAAATTAAGTTCCCCCTGAGGAGAAACCTCAGATTTTCACTACCTGAAAGTTCTGGAAACAAGGTCTAAAACCAAGTTCACGCTGGGTCCAGTTTTCTAATTGTTACATACCATGCAAATAATTGCTTTGCTCTGGGAAACACAGTCATTTTGCTGCTGGGATAGAGACCGACTTGGTCCCTTTTCCTGTCTGCGGTTTAGTAGACACAGTGCTGAAACAGTAGAAGGATAGGTTTATGAGGTAGTCGGAGTCATTAACTCATCGCTACCTCTCTGGTGTCACCCTTCTTCATCTTCCATTTAAACATAACCCCAGGAAATGACAGTACAGAGGTCAGGGGCACTGAAGATGGTTCTCTGCACCCTAGAAGATACGATGTCCGTAAGAAAGCTCTACAGAAGAGGAAAAATAATGGGGGCAACTTTACAGGTAGTGCATGTTAAGAATTGTGCTCTTCCATATATTTCACCTTGTTTTAAAGTGGCCTCAAGCCAGGCACAAGTGGGAAGGTGGCATAGGATCCTAGCTTAGTTCAGCAAAGCCACACTTGCTGGCTGCCTGACAATCACTGGAACAGTGATTAGAGAGGACATTCACACACACATATGTGGACAGTGAGAAGCATCCACACACCCTCCTGGCAAATACTAAGTGCATCCATAGAAAAAGCAAAACCAAGGTGAACTCTATGAGGAAAAATACTCCAACCATGGACAAAATATAACTTGACACTGCAAAGAAGATATTATCTGAATAAAATGTATTAAGCAACCAAAATATAATTTTACAAAGCTTATGTATGGCATGGGTTCAAATAATGATACACAGTAACCAAAACTTTAAAAACAATATAAAGAGAAAACAAATAGAGCCAGGGATGTAGCTCAGTGGCACATCTACCTAGCAAGCATGAGGTCCTGAGTTTGCCCAGTACAAAAATAAATTAAAAAATAAAAGTCACAAAGACACAGGCTGAGATAAAAAGGAAGCTGGGTAATATCATGGTGTTCTAAGGACGTCCTTGAGTCTTTCCTTCCCCAGCTGGGTTAGGTTGATGGGAAACATAGCCCTAGTTCTCCATCCTCCTCTGTTCACATCCTCTGCAATGTAGCTTTGTAGCAGCTAACATCAAGAGGTGTGTGCATAACCCTAACCCTAAATCAGCTCGTCTAGTAATTTCTCTTTTTTTTGGTACCGGGGATTAAACTCGGGTCCTTGCACTTGCAAGGCAGGCCACCGAACCACTGAGCTAAATCCCCGGCCCCAAAGGTCTAGGAGTTTCTTTTGGCCACCAGAATGCAAAGCATTCAGTGCAGTTCCAGGTGCTTGCTTCTGCTACCGAAGTGAGAACAAGCCTACACTTCTAGAGGAAGAGGCATCTTCTGGACAAGAACCAAGGTCCTCCTGGCCAATAACCAGCCAACGCCCAGCAGGGCCACCTAACTCATTCAGAGTTGACTCAAGAGGAAACCAGCTGAGAACAAAAGAACTGCTCGGCTAAACAGTCTAAACTGCCAAGCTGCAGAATTATGAGCTAAATAAATCAGTGATGTTTTAAGTCATTGAGTTTTGTAGTGGTTTGTTACATATCTAAGCTTTGGAAATATCTCCTAAAGTGGCAATTAATATAGAAAGGAAAAACTTTGCTTCTTAAAATCATAATACAACAGAGTGTTCCATCGACATACTGTAGCTTCGAGTTTTTGCAACGATGGTATAAATAAGAACAGTGTGAAGGGCAGCTTAGCAGTTGATCCTTGATCCGTTATCCATTATGAATGTTGCTGGCATGGGGAGGTTGATCAGTATAAAGCCCTCTGACATTCCTAGGGTAAGAAATCACACCTCGCTACCAAGTCAAAGCTATTGTCCAAAAAGCTAGAACTTCTACGGATGCCAGTCTCACTTGAACAGCATTTACCACTGGCCTCTAACATCACCCACATACAATACCTGCTGCCCTGTCTTTCAGAGGTAGCTTCTTTTTTTTTTTTTTTTTTTTTTTTTT